CAGTGTAAATTATCAACACCTAACTGTACTCGGTTGGATGACAAACAATTTCAGTGTAAATTATCAACACCTAACTGTACTCGGTTGGATGACAAACAATTTCAGTGTAAATTATCAACACCTAACTGTACTCAGTTGGATGACAAACAATTTCAGTGTAAATTATCAACACCTATCTGTACTCGGTTGGATGACAAACAATTTCAGTGCAAATTATCAACACCTAACTGTACTCTAGTGTGTATTATTTCCACATGATAGAGTGGTGGCATTCCTACTGTATTTGCCTTTTAAACTATTTTTCCTTATCACTAAACCCTGCAGAAAGAAATTATACTACTACAGAGTTGGAATGTCTAGCCATAGTCTGGGTTGTAGAAAAACTTAAAATATACCTATATGGAGAATAATTTACAGTTATAACTAACATGCTGCCTTGAAATGATTACAGACAACTCCAAAAAAAGTTAACTGATAGACTAATGCATTGGTCATTAAAGTTGTAGGACATAATATTTGAAATATTTCATGGAAAAGGAAAAGAGAACCAGTTACCTGATGCCCTACCTATACATCCTACTGATCCCCCAAAATAAACTCCTGATTTGGACATTGGTAAGCTATCACCTAAACATATTGCCATTGTCAATGTTAACACTAGAAAACATTTGGCTACTTAACAAGTTAAAGATGATGAGTATAAGCATACTTACTCTTATTTGAAACTGGACTGTTACCAGATGATTCTAATTTAGTTGCAGAGACTGTAAGTAAATTCAAACACTGTCTTGAATGTCAATGTTCTTTATTATACAAAAAGGGTTGCCAGCAATGGTGAATTCATATCAGTTATTCCAAAAACAGAGACCGGCAGTGTTAATAGAATTGCATGACATCCTATGACTGGTCATCTAGCTGTCCAAAAAACAGTAGACAAAGTATCCAGATGTAGTATTGGCCTAGTATGAGAAAGGACATTAAAAAATTATGTTATCATGCCATGTTTGTCAAACCATCAAATTTGACCAAAATGGCCAGCAGGATTTACATAAAGTACTAGACTAATGGAACCTGGTGAGATAATTGGAGTACATATCATGGAACCTTACCCTAAATCTAGTACGGGGAATAGTTATTTGTTGGTTGTAACAGATTATTTCAGTAAATGAGTCAAATTATATCCTCCCAAACAAATAATTACAAAGGTGATAATGAAAAAATATTTAATGAATACTTGTGTAGATATGATATTCCAAAGACTCTTGTATCTGATAATGGACCACCATTTATGTCTCATGTGATAGATGAAACTTATAAAGATATGTTTAATTTCCATATCTTTACAACTCCCTGTCATCTTCAGCCTAATATTACTGAAAGAGTAAATAAAAATAAGGGTAGAATGATATCAGCTTACATTGAGAAAAATCACTGAACTAGGGATAATAATTTATCTTAAATTTTCTCTTGCAGTTAAATCTTCTATTCATTAATCTATAGGTTACGTGCCAGCCAAACTCCATCTGGGGCAAGAGATCTTCCTTCCTTGGGACCGACAGAGAAAATATCCAACAAAACCTCAAACCTCATGATGTCAGTATAAAGTGGGAGTTAAATTTAAGGATATGAAAATGGGCTACTTTATACGAAGTGATTAATGTCTTCACTTTGTTTTTTTAAGGGGGAAGGAGTGTGAAATACCAAATTCTATTTTCAATTAGTTATGGTTTTGTTTACATTCATTTATTATTCCTTCTGTCATTTAGGTTAGCTATAAATTTTATGTTTAACTCACCTTCTAGGTGATCAATTAATGTATTATGAAACTGATACCAGTTTCCCCTAGTGATAACGTACAGATCCTAATGTTATAAAAGATTATGAAGATACATGGTAATAACTAGTTCCATGCAATGTAATCTTACGATCTAACCACACAGAATAAAAAGCCTTCATTGATTGGAAAACCAGTTAGTTCACAAGATAGTTAGTTAAAGTGAATTATTGCTGATTGTCACTCAATACTGATATTGAGAAGTGATTTTGGAATATTGTGTTGTTTTTTTTTGTTTTTTTTTTATTCTTCTTTTGGTTCTTTTTCCTGATTCCTTTATTCAAATAATTAATAACATTGATATATATATATGTGTGGTATTGGTCATTAATGTTAGTATTAAGTCCTGGTCAGGCACATATTTATTAACTGTATTTTTGGTGAATGATCGACTTGTCACAGTTTAATACAGTGATTTTTGTTTTAAAAAAAGACAAACATAGTTCAAACTGCATAGGCAATGAAAATAACAAAATTAAATAATAGGTTGAACAATTGCCAAGTTTTATATATTTTTCAATAAAATCTTTTTAATAAAAAATATAAAAACTTAGCAATTGTTCAATCTATTACTTAATTTTTATTTTTCTTTTAAATCTTGTTGTAGCAGTGTGTTGTTTTAAACTGTTACAATGTCTTTGTAACGAATGTAGCATCACATGTAAGAAAATCAAACTGTTGAATATTATTGAAGTCCTATGCCAAAACTGCACCTGGGTATTTTGGTACACTATGTCCCACTGAAAAGCCAAGCATTCTCACAAAATGCAGGTTTAAATCTGTTTAGTGAAATAAATTGAACACTGCCAATAGAAGAAGGCAGTAAGTGCAAAACAAAAAGGAATATCATTCATTTCAAGCATAGTGGTATGAAGATTTCCCTTGACTGACTGTATGTGTGTCCAGAAATAAGATATGTTGTTCTACTGGGCATTCCTACAAACTATCTAATGACCTTAACCTAAGTAAAGATATCCAACCTACCTTCACTACTTATCAGTATAACAACTGGAATAAAGCACATGAAAGATTTTCAAGTAATAAGAAAAGCAAAGGTCACAGGGAAGCATGTATGAAAATGTAGCCATGGAAAACTGTCAACATTACTGCACATTTGAATACTCAGATGTTGGAACTGCAAGCTGATTGTAGGAATAATATATTTAAGCAGTTATCCGGTTTGAAATGGCTTTTACATCAAAGAGTGTTCATCAGAGGGTATACAGAAGAAGATGGTAAACTGAAACAGCTGTTAAACCTCAGGATGGGAGACGTTCCCAAACTGAAAGACTGGATTAATAATACAGACTACAAACCACTCAACACTGTGAATGAGTGCATAATACTAATGAAACACAGCATTTAGTAGGGCTTACTAGGAGGTCAAACACATTGACATCCTTGTAGATGAAATAAGGGACATTAACAACAAGAAGCAGTTGGCAATATGTATATGTTGGTTGGATCAAGACTTTGTCATTCATGAAGACCTTACTGGAGTGGTAAACAATGACAACAAGGAACAGCTGGCAGTATGCATACACTGGTTGGATCAAGACTTCATCATTCATGGAAGACCTTACTAGAGTGGTAGAAACTGACAACACTGAAGCTACCTCATTAATCATGGCAATTATAGACACCTTAACCTGCTACTGCTTGCTACCCTCTTAGTGTCGTGGTCAAGCCTATGATGGTGAAGTCAGCAACTAAGGACTGAAAATTTTGTTGACATCCAGGGTCATTGTTTTGCACACTGTTTAAACTTGTGTATCTAAAATACAGATGTGACCTGTGTAATTTTAACAGACTCAACTTACTCTGGTCATAGAGATGTGTCATCTGATTCGCAAGTTGCTGAAGTGCCAACTCATCTTCGCTAACATGAAGTGGGAGCTTATCCGATGCCCTAGAACTGTCACCCTTCTGTCCTACAAGATGGACTGTGCACACAAAATCTCTCCAGTCTACCCTTGACAACTATGGTGTACTGATCCATAATTTTACTATAGTTAACACAACCTGTCCTGATCATTATGGAAGGCATGCATGAGGTGTCTTGGTGCAGATTGAAAAAAAACTGATACCTCTCTTGGTATGAAATTATGTCATTTGGTCTTTGGTGCTACTAAGGAAGTATTATGTGCACTGTGAGAGGACACAACTGTGGAGAAGAAGCAGGCAGAGCTTACAAAGAAATTCTTGCTCATGCAACGGTGTTATGCTAGCTTAGAGAATTTCTGTGAAACAGTCAAGAACCACACTAGCTAGCTTTGTCTTTTCCATTAAAAACATCCACCAAGGTGATTGGGCTCAGGATCAGACCCTCACATGTTCCAGTCAGGTGAATGTTAATTCAGAAAGGTGTACCACCTTGGAAATGGATACAAATATTTTGCATGAAGAGAAACTATGACGACATGCTCCCTGATCTCATAAAAGATATAAGGAAAAATTCAGAAATCCTCATCAAGACAGTCACAAGTGTCAGGACCTTGGCTGCAATCTTTAATATGGAAAAGATGGGCACCAGCATGTTTTCAGAGATTGCCATGTTGATCAGTATTTTCATGACAATACCTATCACCAGAGAACATGCATTTTCATCACTGTGTAGACTTACAGCATACCTCAGATCCACTATCGCATAGATGAGGCTGAACAATGTACTGTTTTTGGATCATCACAAGGAACAAATTGATGCACAAGATATTGTTACATCTCCATTTGTTAATTAACTTTCCGTAATTTCGTTCCGATGAAACTTTAACGACACAAGTCTTTACTTAATAAAACTAGTTTATTCTTTCTGAATATAACTTTACGATACACTTAATTTCGATATTCGCACTAAAACAAACACTATAACGAACGAACGTTAACTTCAACAATACCCTGTGACTGCAGTTCAATTACTTACTATCTACACACACAATACGTTATCCTCCCGTCACGTTGTCACCCTCTTTTATATACCAGACTACCCTATATCTAGTAAATACTAGAGCATTCACCAAGGTACGGGATAGTTCTAGAAACGTGGCGTCACACTAGTCATGTGACTCGCTGACGCAACAATATTTTAAGTAACCAAAGTCTTCCTCACAGCTAATGACACAAAAATAATTCTTTGGCATCTGCAGCAAGTTTTACTGTTGTAGCTCTATCTACGAAGCCTAAGGTAGAACTTATCTTTTTGAATAAGGTCATATATGCATGCTAAGTAATTTACAGAAGACAGTACTTGAGTATATGATGATAATATGTTTCACTATCAATTTTGTTAACTAGTACTTTTAAAAGATTATATGTAAATTTCAGCATCTAAGAAAATAGTTGTAATTTCAATCATTTAGAAATTTATAAGCTTGATAAATATGAGAATGTTCTGAGGAAGGCCTCATATAACCTCCCAAACACGCACACACATGCGCACTTCAGCATCCCCCCTTCAATTTGAGGTTCCCTCCAATGCCTGTCCTTTCGTAACAACAATTTGAAACACTGTTACTGCTGTATAAATGTAAAAAACTTTGTATATTAATTGGTATTAAAATATTTTCTTTTATTTCTCTTCAATGTTCTGTATAGAAGAAGTAATATATAGGTCTTTTTATACAGTTCTAGCACAAGAAAAGGGGCTCTCCTATTTGTTTATATTCTTAGTGATGCATTTTGTTTCTTGGTCTGTATTTATAAAACACTGTCAATAAAAATTGATAAGGCCTGCTTTAGATTTTAAAATTACGAACATTTGTTTAGATGCAAAAATCCATTAAGGTTTTGTTGGAGTTTGTTCATTTGGAACACCCATGCTCTCTCGCATCTGCTGCCACAAAAGGGGTTTCCAAGACAACGTGACTAGAGAGTGCAGAGATATACGCGTGCGCCAGTCTTTCTCACTGTGGCGTATGTTAAATCTATGACTATATACGTAGTAATGTTAATTACACCCAATATTATGAAATGTATGTTTTACCCTCACAATACTGAGGTATCACCCCATTAATTGCATATTTCATCTAATATAACTAGTACAAGTTGTACGATTTACTTCACTCAAACATCTCTCCCCTGCCAATTTCTTTTATCGTTATTCACAAAATTTACGAATACCGTTAGAGGGCGCGCAATATATTTTCACAATGGCGTCAGTGAAATCGTCGTATAGCAACTTTTTACTGATTCAGTAGACCATGACGTACTGTTACTGTCAGGTAAGGTACTACAGGTTACACGATGTTATTCTCATGCTATCGGATTTCCCCTGCTATACTGCTGCTAACGGTGCTGTTGCTTTTACTAAGGGTTTTTGTTTTGCTTAATCATTTAACAACAGTAGACTATGAACCCGTTCAATTTAACGCAATCACAGCTCAATAAATCAAAAGTTGAAATATGACCCACGACGTGAATGAAAATTTCAGCAGACTGTGACTGTGTTAACAAAACAAATTTTTAATTAAAATAAAATAAACGTGAGGCCTAGCTTCTTTCTGCCATACGTTTAAATAACTCTCGAACCTTGGCCTAATTAAATCTTTGAAAATTAACGACATTTTCTTCCGCAGAAATTATTCTTGAATACAATACGCCTCTATACGATATACATGTATTAAAACATTACAAAAAATTAAAATTAATGTGGTGCGATATCATTACTTTCTTAATTTAATATTTATATTATAAACATACTTAAATATTTTTATTTCTTTTACAGTTATTTTTCCGTATATTTTCTTATGAAAATCTCTCATGACAGAAATATGTAACATTATACCTTTGCGCATTGTACTAAAAACTTAAAATACAAGGCAAAGTATTATATTTATACGTTTTTACAACGCATAAGGTATAATGTTATATATAAATCATAATATAATATATATTACAAAAATAGTTGAAAAGTGGTTTACGTTTTCTTTACCGTTACGTCAGATTCAGTATAAGTTATATATATAAAAACAACACTAAAAACAGTTCAGAATCATATACAAAGAATACTGAATCCAGTGAATATACAGTTCAAACAATAAACCTAAAATAAATATATCATATTCATATGTAAAAGCGATTTCAAAGGTTACCTTTCAAATCACCGTTTCTCACAGTACTACTCAGTGTAATAGATAATACGAAATAAATATCCCGTATGCTTTTGCTGCCTTCGATCACAATGTTGAAAAACCGAAACCTGTAAAGGGACCATTTCGTATTTATAAGTCTCTTGGCCTTGAAACAAAAACATACCTGTAGCTACAATAAGACTTTTTTAAATTTAAATGCTTTGTAATTTTTCTCTTCTCTGATCTTTTAAACGTTATTAATATATAAATTTTGGAGTTTAAATTAATTAAAATATAATTCTTAGTAAATAACATAAGTATATATAAATGTGTTGTTAAAATCAGTGTTAAAACCGAGGGTGAACACCGACCATCGACAAATGTTAGGGAAAAGCAATATTTCATACTCTCTGCATTGTTATTTGTCTAGAATAGTAGTTTCTCCCAAACAATTCATGATTTAATGTTGCCGACGCAATATGAATCAGATTAACGTTGCATAGTGCTTTCTCTATCCATTGGTAATACGAGGCTCCTAATGAAATTGACATGACCTAATTTGCTGAAAATTTACTATTATATATTTATCTTACTATAAATGTTTGTTTAAATTAAATTTGTATTTAGAAATGTACATAACTTATACTGTTAAATATGTATTGCGAAATTCCCGCCTATTTTCTAAAGTTGTAGAAGACTCTCAAGTGTAAGAATCAACAATATAAGTGTGTACGTAAACGCTAATGTAGCGTTTGTATTGTTGCGTACCCTGAAATTTCGAGAAACTCTCCACACGCCTATAAATATAACCAACGCGACGCACCTAAAAACATTATGTATTATTGGTTTGCTATAGTTGGTATACTATAAGCCTCAGAAGCTATAACTGTGATTGTTATAACGCTTATTAATTGGGACATTTCAGATATTTGTCCAAGAACATTATAAATTTCGAACATAACAAACCATTCAACTTCAGTGAATTCACATCGGACATTAGTACTTTTACGAAAACATTAGTTAACATCGTAGGTGGAAAACAATCGGCATGTGATCAGGGAAGACCACAGAGCTAGCTAGCTCCCTATTAAGTGAATTGTACCTACATAAACTTAAAATTAACGCGCTCATGGTGAATCCTCGATAAGACATCAAGGAAGTTCCAGACCAGAGAGAAAACTTGATATTGTTTGTAAGTTTGTAAAACGTTTGTATATAAATCATTGTTTGTAATAAATGTTGTTGTTGTAAATTGTATTATTGCTTGTATATTAAAATATATTTATATTAAAAAAAAGAAAACTGTGTGTATCAATCTTGTTGACAAATATCATAAATTGGATATATATCGGCATTTATTTAACTACAAATCTAAATTACAATTTAACTCAGGTTTAGACTATTTGAAATTGCAGTGCGTACCATAATACTTGAATAAAAATACATAACAAAAGTGAAAGTTGTTCAATATCAGTTGATAAGGAGACAATAAACACATATTTCTTAGTATAAACTTTTATTAGTTGGTTGTTATTAAGCACCAAGCTACACAAAGGGTTATCTGTGCTCTGCCCACCACAGGTATCTAAACCTGGTTTATAGCAGTATAATTCTGCAGACATGCCACTGGGGCACCATTATTAGTTATAATTATTATATCCATTATTGGTATGATGATTATCATTAATCCCAGACTTAATTCCAACTTTTATGCAACCTATTCTCTATGTTTTCCCGTTCCATATTTCGATAGGTTAAAAAGTATAGTATATTTTTAAAAAACTTAGGTTTGATTTTTGAAAATAAACTAGGCACCTGTTTTATATCAAGCTTCCTTATGAACCATGTTTTTTTCTTTCACTGGCGAGAATAAGTAGGCATTATGGAAAATATTTAGATTATATTTTACACGTATAAGTAAGTACCCGTTCTGGCGAACAGGACAAGCCTAGCTCTAACTACCTCCGACCCCCATCAGATATTAAAATTTCAAATGTAAATATGTATGTAATATTATGTTCAGTTTGCTTTAATGTAAATTTAATATATTTTTATGAATGTGATACCTTATGCACATTGATGTATGAACAAAAACAAAAATGCAATGTTGTACTTTATAATGTATCTAAATAAATAAGTCTGCTTCCACATATCCAACCACTCAGAGAAAAAAAAAAAGTAGAATAAAATACATTGGCTGACTTGACTTTAATCTCATTTTACACAATAAGTATGATAATGTAAGCCTTACTCTTTTCCCGTAGTCTACTTTCTGGTAGACGATATAATTTTATTTTATAGGCAGCATAATAGGCTAGGCCTACTGTTTGCTTTTTCACATACAACATTTTAATTCTGCATACATTTCTTTTGTGTGTGAGGTTAAATATATGATGTTTTATTAGATGTATAATTAATAATCTATAACTAAATAGGTCTATTTATTGTAATGCTAATAAAAAATACAATTTCCTGGTTCAACCCATCTTTCACCTCGTGCAAGCACTCTACCAGTTACGCTGACTTGACTGTAAATTTTATCTCATTGTACGCAATAAGTATTATAATTTAAGCCTTACTCTTTTTCACGCATTTCATTTTCTGGTAGACGGTATAATTTTATTTTATAGGCTAGGCCTACTGTTTGCTTTTTCACACACCACATTCTAATTCTGCATACATGTCTTTTGTGTGTGAGGTTAAATGTATGATGTATTAGTAGATGTATAGAGAATAATCTACAACTAAATAGGCCTATAATGCTATGTTCTAAATTAAATGTTAATTAACTCAAACTTACCCAAAAATTTTAAGTCTGTGTAAAATTTATTCGTGTAATGTATATGTTAACAATAAAATTAACGGTAGCTGAAGATAGACGCGTATATCAACGTAAAACTGTAGTTTTGCGCACCTTCACGTGAGGGAAGTGGGACCTGCGCAGTGAATGCAGCGGACAAACAAACAAACAGAGAGATTTTAAGTTTTATTATTTGATACTAACTTGAACAAAACGCTTAACTTGAACACTATTGTTAATTCGCTGTTTAGATGTTATCCTTTAAAGTAACATTCAAGAAAATTAGTCTACTTTTAAACACTTGTCTCTGTTAAGTATTGAAATACCCAGTTTTAGTTCTCAGAATCAGGGAGTGAGTTTGATAAGCTTTAGGTGCACTGGTGAGTTTATTAGGATTCTTTTTTCGCATCATTATATTTATGGTGTTGGTAGAAAACTTCGAATAAAGTTTTACAATTAAATTAAAATAGGTTCTACAAGTCTGAAAGGAAAAAAAACAAATCTACAGGACGACTTTATGATAGCATTTCTCCGAAACAATTTCTGATTTAATGTTACCGCTGCAACTTTTTACTTAATCTCATCTGCAATATTTTCAGATAAAAGTTGCAAAGTTCTTTGTCTATGTCATTGGTAATTCTAGTATCTGCAAACATAGAGACTAAAAGCCCCATTCTTATATTCTAAAGTTAATACACTTATCTAAATAGATAAAATATATAAAACCCCAATTTTCTGAAAATATTTGAATGAAAACACATAATATAAATAAAAATTGTTCAATATTTACAATACCACTTATATTTAATGTTGAATCACGTGCTCTGCATAGAACAAGTAAAAATAACTGGAATTCATATTTAAGCTATCTCAAGATAAAAAAAAATAGCGCTTGCCATAAAATTGTAATGACAGTCTCCGTTTAATAATTTTTATTCAAACAGGTCTCTAGTGATCTGTAAAGTGACCTAAAATTTAAAAGATTGTTGGTCATTCATCCTGTATTCATCATAAATGGTCATTTGATAAAGAATGGCTCGACATTTTTACAGTAATGGTGTTTCATTACCACGAACACCAAGGTCAGCCTTGGAATTGATGTTGCAGGGTTAAAAACTAAGGTTGCCACGATCAACACCAATGCTTATTGCTGTTTTCCTAAAAATAATTTCATGGGAGCTTTATAACTTAATGTTTAATGGGTGATGGTCACAAACAACAATTCAACTATAATTTGGAGCAGTAAATAAACTGAATTATAGCACCGAAATTAAGGCCTTATCCACTTCCACCTTTCGTGCTGGAAATATAAATTAGTGGATCCCATTAAGAGCTCAGGACTGCAGGTAATCGAACATTGTACGCCCATAAACTTACCACTGTCCCACCAGGGGATACGCAGCGATTAGGAGTTTACAGCCAAAATATGGAGCTTTCATACAAGAGAGTGACATCTTATACAACTTTATATTTCAGTGGCCTCTTGGCGCTCTAAATGTTATTAATATTATAACTTCGCAGTAAATAAGTTCATCAGATAACAACCATTCTGACAGAAATTCCTACACTTAATTATAACTGCAACACTTATTAAAGCTCATTTACCTGTGCAGCATTATTATTATAGTAAAAATATAAAGTGTTTGAATCGTGAAATAAAACACGTGTTGAAAACGAATGAAATGTTTACTGTTTATTCCTCAGTTAGCATTATCAGACAGCGCCATCTCTTGATCATTTTGATTTATCTTAAAAATCACCTTATAACTGTCAGTTTAAAGTATACACTATCTAGTTATGTCGCTTTTTTTTTGTGGTACAAGCCAAGAGAAATTCGCGAAAAACAACAGAAAGATCATCAAGGAGAATGATTTAACCTACAGAGAATCTACCAGCACCACAAGTTGTTCAGTATTGCAGATATATATTCAAATATCAAGGACGACACTAGTGCCATCAAATCTATGGTTAGAAAGTATAACAAAACAATTTATATTGAGGGTCTTTTGGTAACGTTCTCTCTAAATCTTCTGAAAACTCAAGGAAAAAAGATCAAAGGTACAGAGAATGAACATATACAGTGTTAGCATGAAAGGTTGATAGCTGCTTGCTATCATGCAGTAGAGTAAGGCTATCGGGTAGTGGTAAAATTCTTGGAGAATTTTGAAAGTGTTATTGATAATCTGGCTCCAAAATGAAACATCGTGCGTTTTTCTTCCCAAGGATAAGTGATAATGGCCAAATAGCTGTATCATCTGCAGATGGTGCACGTTCCCAACTAAGTCCCCTAAGAAATCGTGTTATATCTTCAAAACTGACAGGGGAAACATGAATAGATGCTACATCTTCAAAACTGACAAGGGGGAACTTGGATAGATGGAGCATTTTCATAACTGTCAGGGGGAACTTGGATAGCTACTACAGAGACTGGACATGAATTATGTAAAAGAAATTAATAAAAAAAATCAGAGTCTGATAGCGAGTTCGTTCGTTTTGTGTTCTCATTATTATAGTGAAACAACGCCTGAAAAGTTTTGTTATTTGAAATATGTTTATTGTGAAATACGGAACATTGAAGAAGTTATGTGTTTCATACACAAGACTTGCGTATACTTGTCAGTCATGATTATATGGATCCATTGAAGCAAAAAACGCAAGAGAAAAACGCCTTCAGTTTAGAGTTATACGGCGAGTTCGTTCGTTTTGTGCATTTATTATAATTCTGAAAAGTTTTGGTGATTGAAATAGTGTTATTGTTCAACAGAACATTGAGAAAGTTATGCATTTCATACACAAGACTTGCGTATATCTTATCTGTCAAGATTA